TTAATTTGCATTAAAATTGTTTTGTTTACGATTGTAAGTTTAGGCGGGAAATTTCCCGTGTAGAAACACGCTTCTCGACCAATCAACGCACGCGTACTATAAATGTTCTATTTTATCATAATTTATGCATTTGGTACGGCTCATGTAATTATGTAAAGCACGGCAGTATAAATCAACATGTGCTTCAGCCGTGTAGCACGCCTGAACCAGGCGAACTTATTAATTTAGCCGTGCTTAATATTAAGTGCAGTGCTTAATTGATTTAGACGCCATGCTTCTCATGTGCCGCTTAATTCATTGTATTAAGTTCGGCTCATGAAAAGCACGGCGTCTAAACCGGGCCTCAATAAGATATATACAAAGAATTCTTGCGATCGCCTATTTACAAACGGGACTATGAAAACAAAAGCATTAGCGAAGCCTATATATATAAAGTGCATCACTGAATGATCGCGCATGCATGGCTATAGTTCGTTATATACAGTATATATTATAAACTGCTTGCGCGTTTTGGATCATTGTTCTAAAATATTTAAATTACAATCCAGAACATCATAATTTGTAAAATTGTTCAATTAATAAAATGCCTGGAGCATATATATCTTTTTATTGCATGCATGTATTAAAAATATATATATTATTTTTAGCATTACTTAATAAGAACAACATTGTTCGAACATTTGGCGTGGGGTCAGTCGTAGAATGCGGACAAAGATGCGCGAGTTGTTTTCCAGAGTGCAAGTCTTTCAATTACAAACACAGTGAAAAATTTGTGGACACATTGTGTGATATAAATAACACGACAAAACGTGGCCACCCAGAGAGAAGTCTTATCGAAGACGTCAATTCAATATATGGAGAAATTTTAAACCCAATCTTTGAGGTATATAACAATTGTATGCTTTTATTTTGTTCTTTCATATATAGCATATATATTTTCAGACTAAGGGGGAAAGGGGTTGAGATTTTAGGTTGAGATTTGATTTGTGCTTTGCCTTTAGAATGCATAACGGCCGGTTCTTCGAAATTGGAAAAATTGTTGTCAATGCTTCACAAGAACTGACTATATATGGCAAATTAGTATTTTTCGTTTGGATTAATTCTTTTAGAGCATTCGTATATATAAGTGTTAACGTGCTTTTGACTTCAATTTTTGTAAGTAAGTATAATAAAATAAGTGGGTGTGTGCTCAGAATCATGCTTACTTGCAGGAGGGGTGGGGAATAAGGAGGGTTAAGACTGAAACCCTTGAAAAACCCAATCTGAGTAAGGCAGTAATATGAAGATTCTTCATCGCTGCCTATAGATTTTCACAACGGGCTAAGCAGCCCGAAAGTAGATCAAACCATGGTCTTGCTAAAAAAAAGTGTGAGCTTCTTCCGTCGCCAGGTAGTTCAACTGTTTTCTACCGGCGATTTTATCCCACCAAGTCCTCCAAATTGACCAATACCTGCATGAATTATGAAGCATTTTTTGCAGCATTTTTCAGTGCCGTCCTGCACATTTGTCACTCAGTGCCAGAAGGTTGCAGGCATGCAAGGGTATTTCCGTGCCTTAACTTTTCAAACTGGTCGAAAACGTTTCAGCACATCTAACCGCTTTAAATAATCTTCCTTACACTACTGCTGTTTCAGTTGGATCATGTTTCACGTGTCGTGTTTACATGCCCTTGTAGCTGAATTGAACTACGGTTGTCATAAAGTTTATTTTTAAATCATGTAATATACACAACAAGGCAACAATACTATTTTGAAAACTCTCTTTTATTGTTATATTCGTTCTCATACAATAAGTCACTCCCTGTCATCAGCTATCTATATAAAACATCTCTTATTACTTAATCCCTATTAAGCCATATAATCACTAGCGTATGTTACATTATCCCCCTCTTTAATTGAGAGCGTCCTCGATCTCTAGTTCATCTAAATTATAATCTTGATATCTATCAGGTTGTCGGCGATGACGGTTAGACCTACGCAATTGGAACAACCCCTCTGCTGGTAATAGCGTCCGCCAGCCTCTCTCCGTGGTGTATCACTGGCTCGCCTGGGAGCAATTCGACACCGGCTTGATATGGTAGTTCACCTTGCCCAGTCTCTTGATTACTACGTAAGGCCCCGTCCACGGTGAATGGAATTTTCGACTCAAACCCTTTGGTACCGCTTTGTTATTGAGCCACACCCGATCCCCTTTCTTTAGCGATGTACTTCGGTCAACGTCATTATGTTCGTCGTACCATTTCTTCTGCTTAATTTGAAATAAACTGTTCCTTAACTTCAGTTTCGGTGTTCATAAGTACCAGCGGTGTAGTGGCTTCGCGACCATAAATTGCCTTGAAAGGTGAAACTCCAGACGAGGAATGCACACTGTTACGGTATGCAAACAAGGCCAGTGGTAAGTGATCGTCCCAATCATTATGGTTCTTATTTACATAAGCTGTCAGAATCCCCTTCAACGTGCGATTCATTCTCTCCACTTGTCCGTCCGTTTGGGGATGGTACGGCGAAGTTCTTAGTTTTTGCACACCGAGAAGACTGAACACTTGCTTCATGAGATCGGCCTCGAAGTTCCATCCTTGATCGGTTAGAAGTTTACTTGGGACTCCATGTCGAGTCACCACTTCATTGACGAAGGCTTTAGCTATACCGTCTCGGCACGTTGATTGGGAATTGGCACCGCCTCTACCCACTTGGTGAAGTGATCGGACATAACAAAGATGTACTAGTTCCCCCGTGCAGTCATAGGAAGTGGACCTAATACGTCCATAGCCCACAGTTCCATCGGTTGTCCAACTTCTATGCTCTGCATGGGTGCCTTTTGAGATGGGACGGGTGTTTTTCGTCTGTTGTACATTTCGCACTCGGCTATCCATAGTTGCAATTCTGCTGCCATTCCCGGCCAATAATATCGTTGTTGCAGACGTTCTAAACAGCGGTTTATTCCCATGTGTCTCGAACATAGGTCATCATGAGAAAGCTTTAAAAGGTCGGCACGCATCTTTCGAGGGACAACCAAAACCAGTCGCTTCGATGGAGTACCTTTATCTACACAACGGTGTAGAACGTACGCCACCTACCATTTCTAGTTGTGACCACAACTGTCTGTAGCGTCGCCTTTCTCCATTCTCCTTAGAATTACCATTATATATCATTATCATTATCATTTCCTTCCTCTGGTAGATCATCGCTGCAGCTTAACTTCTGCATTATCATGGAAATGCCTGGGTCGTCCTTTTGTGCCTTTAAGATTTCTGTCTTGGACTACGACGCGCACACTGCGGTACCGTTTACACAGACCATCAAGTCCTCATCTACGCTTTGGTCTGGTATCCGTGTGGGTGTCACTCGAGGGAAACGCGATAGGGTATCTGCGTTGCTGTGAGTCGACCAGGGCGATGCTTGATTTCGAAATCGTACTCTTGTAAGGCAAGGATCCACCTGGCGAGACGACCCTTCGGTTCTTTCAATCCTTGCAACCACGTTAAACTTTGATGGTCTGTCACTATGTCAAAGGTGCTTCCGAATAAATATGGCTGCCAATAATTGACTGTTCAGACAATGGCTAGACACTCTTTCTCCGTGGTTGAGTAATTTTTCTCTGCAGACGTAAGGGACCGGCTGGCATACGCAATCACATACTCGTTTTCACCTCTTCGCTGGGACAAGACAACGCCGAGGCCGAAATCACTGGCATCCGTATAAATGGTGAAAGGAACGGAGAAGTCTCGTAGGGACAAGATAGGTGCTGAACAAAGACGACTTTTGAGGTCATTGAATGCTTTGTTGGCCACAGGTGTCCAACAAAATTATGATTAGCCACCCTTGGTTAGGTCATGGAGCGGTGCAGCGATGTCCGCAAAGTTCTTAATAAACCGTCTATAGTATGATGCCATACCAACGAACGCTTGAACATCGGTGAGAGAGGTCGGGGTCGCAAATTCTCACACGGCCTCAACTTTGGACGAATTGGGTTCTGTTCCCCGTGCAGATACGATGAGGCCAAGGAATTTCACCGATTCTTGTGCAAATTGGCATTTGTCTCGCTTGATCTTCAACCCTGCTGCACGAATACGACGAAATACTTCGTCCAAAATGCGTTGATGTTCCTCCCACGTATCCGAGAAAATAATATTAGGGAGCTTTAGATTTGACTACGAGTACGACTACGGGTACGAGATTTGATCGCGTGCGAGGAAGTTACCGTAGTCGTTCTCGTTTCCATTCAAATGTTGCTTTTATAACAGTAAATCAACAACGAGAGAAAAAGTTTCATAAACTAAATCTCCTGCAGACTAAAATCCCCTACAAAACGTGTAAATAAATCATAACATTAAAAACAGGCCAGATATTTAGTACTAATATATTATTTGCGCCGGATAAACGCTATATAACTGCTACAAATTATTTTTGGAAAACAAAAAAAAGACAACTTTCTTTGTTTTTTTGAAAAGTCGTAGTGAGGACTACGAGATTTCTCCACAATTTCGTACTCAGATGGGCGACGAGTACGACTTTTTCGCGTCAGTACGGGATGGCGTAAGCATACAGCATGCGTTTCGCTTGACGAATCTCGTACTCGTAATCGTACTCGTAGTCAAATCTAAAGCTCCCTAATGTCAGCCATGAATACTAGGCAGCCTTTAACACCCTTCAATATATTCCCCATCATGCGCTGAAATGTGGCGGGAGCGTTAGTTAAACCAAAGGGCATAACTGCATGTAAATTCATAGTGGTTCGCACCAACGGAGAAAGCCGTTTTCTCCATATCCTCTTCCCTTAGAGGTACTTGCCAGTACCCGGAAGCAAGGTCCAAGGTACTAAAGTAATGCGCACCGCCTAACTGGCCAATAATTTCGTCTATACGAGGCATAGGATGAGCGTCCTTCTTTGTCACCGAGTTCACTCGCCTAAAGTCAACGCAAAATCTATAATCCCCGTCTTTCTTCGGAGCTAATATGATTGGTGAGGACCAGGGACTGTTACTAGATTGGATTACACCTCTTTCGATCATGTCGTTCACTTGCTTGTTCACTACAGTGTTGAGATGAACAGGAATTCTATAAGGCCGTTGCTTCACAGGACGGCTGTCTCCTGTGTCAATCGAGTGTTCTGCTAAAGTGGTTCGGCCTAAAGGGTCATTTGGTCAGCTTACAAAAATATCTGAATAATTATCTAACAGTACGCTTAATTTATTGACAGTTGGTTCAGTTGTCTCGATTACCAACGCCGCTTCTCCCGATGGCCAAGTTAATTTCGAATTTGCTATATACATTAAAAGCGTGCAAATTTACATACCTCTAAACGATCTCCCTTTCTCACAAAACTTGAATTGATAAGGCCAGTAAATACAAAAAATGTCTTTGCTCCGCTCCTTCGGTTATTAAAATATATGCTGGAAAGCTAGAGATCGAAATATTTTTAAACGCCATTCTTGGTACGTCGTTCGCAGATCGCTGAACAAAGCATTCGGCAGTCATCGATTTGCTATCGTAACTCCTGGAGTATGCGAATGCTCCAATGTAAATTCCTTACTGCTACGTCATAATTTGACGTCACAACTGCCGACAAACACCTGAACGACACAAAATCGTGATTCCCTTCAACTTTATAAAACTGTTGGCGGGAAATTCAAATGCGCTATAACACATCGTCAAGAATAGGAGGCTGCCTTCGGCAGCAACTAATGTGCTTCGCAGTTACAAAAATAAAGATATACACCGGCACTATATTGATATATGTTCATACCTGGAAGTTTTTTTCATTATAAGGGTGTATTTTCCCAATTTAGATTGGGTGGGTGGGTTATGAAATAAAATTGGTAAGATTGGATGGGCTTTGAAATTTTTATCTACATCCTAAGATGGGTCACCAAACTTATTGGCAAAATTTGTGATTTACCTCCAGCCCACCCTAGCAGTTACTTTATG